GACAGGAAAGATTTCACATTCATCAATAGCTTTTAGTGTCTGACCACAAATAGACGTCGTCAACTTGTTGGAGGATGATGCTAGCTCGCCAGCATCCTGCTTGTGACAAGTCTCCTCCAGACCTTAGACTGTATATAAAACAAAAGATAAGAAAAAAAAAAAATCAGGAGAACACACATACACAAAGTGTTGGGGAGAAAAGACATTTGAGAAAAGGTCTTTCATATTTCCTCTCTCTGCTGCTCTTCATTTAAGTAACTGTAAATGTAATGTCTGTAATAAATAACTAGGAGGACTCAAATGCGGATGTAGTGGATTTGAAAAAAGAATGATTTATTGACCAGACTTACAGAGATTGAATGAGGTATAGGGAATGGAGCCCAAGGGGAATGAGACAAGGATGTCGTCTGATGAGAGGTAAGAAGGCAGGCAGAGAATGATCCTGATCATAAAGAGAACAAGGTTAACGCAGTCAAAAAGCACAAGAGGGTAGAAACACATTAATACAAAATTCAAGTGCCGGGGACATGAAATACCATAGTGGGTGAGACAACAATCTGGCAACGAGTGACAAAAAACAAACAAACAGGAAACACGGAAAAGGGGAAACCCAGAGAAACACAAGGAAAATTCTGTTTATTATGATTTGTTAGTTTTATGTTCACCCAAAACAGACATACGTTAAACACCCCAAGAAAATGCATTTCTACGAATGGATGGTTGTAACTTGCCATCCAAAATGGCCACAGATGTCAAGCTGGACAGAAGTGAGGATCTATGCTTATTTGTGTTGTTGAAGGTACAATGAATAAAATTATACAACGCAACACTTGTTTTTGCCCCATTCATCATGAGCTTAACTCAAAGATCTAAGAGTTTCTCTTTGTACACAATAGGTCTATTTCTCTCTCTATTGTTCACAAATCTGTCAAAATCTGTGTTAGTGAGCACTTCTTTGCTGAGACAATCCATCCACCTCACAGGTGTGGCATATCAAGATGCTGATCAGACAGCACGGGTATTGCACAGGGGTGCCTTAGGCTGGCCACAATTAAAGGCCACTCGAAAAACTTTCACTGTTTTGGAGGGGTCTGGAAACCAGTCAGTATCTGGTGTGACCACCATTTACCTCACGCAGTGCAACACATCTCCTTCGTATAGAGTTGATCAGGTTGTTGATTGTGGCCTGTGGAATGTTGGTCCACTCCTCTTCAATGGCTGTGCGAAGTTGCAGTCAGGCTGAGACGACAAGCATGCAGATGGGCTTCCCTGAGACGGTTCCTGACAGTTTGTGCTTAAATTCTTTCGTTATGTAAACCGTTTGTTGCAGCAGCTGTTCCGGTGGCTGGTCTCAGACGATCTTGGAGGTGAAGATGCTGGATTTGCAGGTCCTGTGGCCTGTACTACGAAGGGAGTTCAACCTACTCAGAGTTAACTCGGGGTTATCAGGCAAACTCAGGGTTGACAAACGCTGACTTCCTACACTGGAGTTAAACGGTACTACAAAGGTGAATAAGATGTTGGTTAGTTGAGTCCGTGTTAACTTAATAGGAGTTGGTACGCATTCCCATAAAAGGGGTGTGTTCGGCCGTGCAGGCAGAGTTTTTTGCTCCGTATTTCTCCAGAGGAATGCACGTTGGTAGTGTCAGGAAATTATGAATGTAAAGACATGTTAACGGCAAAATCTAATGTCGTGGTAGACGACAAAGCCAGGGAGGCTTGTTGGCATTGCATTGAGTAAATTTGTAGCCTAATTATTTTCACATTGTTCGTATTGTAGATCAAATCTCTATTAGCCTATGTATTTTATTGGCTCTTCTTTTATGTGTAATATGATTAAGATGTAAAGGTACAACTGCACATAAGGTCCATTGTAATAGGAAAAAAAAGGAGCCAGCAGAGAGGGGTAATAATCTGAGACAGAATTTAATTTCCAAGATTAATCTACAAGTAAAAAACTTAAATATTCTGACATTACAGTCACACATTTGAGAGAAACTTCACTCTGCAAGGCTGCAACATCACACACGTCTGTCGTGTATTATGCACGCACTGGAAAGTAATATAAAATTTTGCAATCGGATTTAGCAGTGAGGAATTACTCCTGAGTTTAGTCCACAATCACTATCATGCACCTTAGAGACTTTGCCTTGGATTGGGTGTATTCAGAAGAGAACAGAGTGATCGATTTTTTTATTACATTAATTTCAGGAAATTTCCGATTTTTCTTGTAAATTTCACACTTTCATCTAGGATTTTTTTTCTCGGTGATTACCCCTCACTCTGGCTCCACACATAAAATAAAAAAAATCTAAATATGCAAAAACACTTAGAATTCAATTATAGACTACAGATGGGCAACATCTAAGAAACTATCCCGTTAATTAATTCCTCTCTAAAATCACAGAGGCTGCAGGGCTCGCTGTCTGAACGTAATGCTGTTGTGTTCAGAACTTCATTGCAGTGGCAGTTGAACAAATCAGGATGAAATCTAAACATGTTTTATGAAGTGGTGTCTATTAATATCCAACTTCTCATCATTAACACGGAGTACAGATGTGGTGTGCAGTCCAACAAAACCATGCTCGGAGCAGTCTAGAGATGCAGCGTTAATTGCCATGGCAACTGACCTCGGTAACACCTATCCACCTTTCGTAGTACGTGTTAACCGGGAAGTTACACCCAACGTCACGCAGTTACTCCTGAAGTTACCTGGATAAGCCAGTTACCTCGCTTCGTAGTACGGGCCACTGGGCTGGTAATGGCGTTACCTAATCAGGATACAAAAATAAAGTTACTGTATTCTGTTTCAGTACACAAAATAAAGACAATCAGATTACAGGTACATTTTGTAAAAACTAAGGGATTACTCACAGGTATTACTTTAAGCAGAAAGTTTCCATGAAACAGAAAACGGAGTGCTATTTACATATGTTTCCTGTAAAAACACAAAGCTAAGGAGGGATTTGTTGCAGATACTGATTGGTGTGTAGCCAGAAGTTGAATGTGGTTACGGCTCCACCCCGTCATGCAGACTGTGCTGACTGATTCCAGCTCCCGGTGAGTGAAAATGGCAGCCGGACCTGGGACCGCACACAGCCTCCGAGACCGACGGAGTCCAGTCTGACCACTGGGAATGCAGTACGAAGGTGATTTTCTTGCTGGTTTGTCTCTTTTCACCCTGGGGCTGAATCAACTAATGAGGCTATGTTTGGTCCTGTTCATGCCGTGTTCACTTGGAGGCTGCTGATCGCACTTTCGTTGCTCTCTTGCCCGGTGCTGCTCCCTGCAATCATTCCTCACCGGGTTCCCCCGCCCCTGGCCTGAAAACCTCCAGTGCTTGAGTAAAGGTGTAAATCTAAAACACACACTCTGGTATTCCGAGCTCCCAGTATGGGTGGAGTGAGCTAATTTGACCAGTAGTTGCAGGCTAACTGAGCTAATTAGATAATGGCAGCTAGCTAGCAGCAGTTAGCTGACTTGTTATAGCAACAAGCAAAGCTATGTGCCCATCAGGGAACTCGTAAATCACAGAGTTGAGGCAGAGCAGCCGGGAAACAGAAC